GATTATAGTGATTATAAAGCGGCGCTTACTTGATCCTGGCTTCCTGTTGTGTCCTCTGGCTTCACCTCGATTACCGCCGGCAGCCGCTCAGAGGCTACTATAGGAGGCCAAAAGCAATTGCCGACATAAACAAGGGAGACGGGAATGCTCATTTCTATCATGTTAGCCGTCATCACCCAGTCTAACAGCCATACCTAACCACGAGGTGTCCGACGTCTGAGGCTTAAAGTTGCGACCCGTTGTTTACATTAAGTGCATCCAACTAACCGTCCACGGCTCCTTGTTTTGTCGTTGGGGATAGGGAAAACTAACAGTGAAGGTGGGGCGCTCAAGTGATCGACTTAGATATGATAGTCAGACGCCCCGTACGGCGTTAACGATCACCATCCATCCTCGTTACTAACTCCTGCTATGTACGCATTATAGGCTGGATGGCGTTGCTGGCAAATATGAGGAAGACAAGAATGCTCATTTCTGCTCAGATTTCAATGCCTTTAGTATTTTTTTTCGCTCATTACGCAAGATGACAGCTTTTGAGTCCGCAAACTTCTTCCGCATGCGGCTAATCTTGAGGTTGCATCTTTCGACGACAATAATACTGATACTCGAACTCACTGCGAATACCAATGTGCACTTGACACTGGATCCGATGTTAATGCCTTACTAAATAACCCTATCGCCGTTATTACCATCACACTGCTGAACTCTTGGTGTTTAGCTAGAGTGTTTTGATTATCGCAACTCGTCGGCCAGTAGACTGTGGGGCGCCTGAACTAACATCCGTTGTTCTTGCCCGAACTATCGTAGAACACCCTCCGATGATTATGGCATCTTACAACCCAAAATGCCCACTTTTGCATTACGGGCGCCACGGATGCGTAAAATAAAGTCCCGAATTCGGTGACGGAATAGGAGTGCTCAGTTGCACATGTACAATGTCCCATCGCATATGCCGCTCCAGAGCAGACTCATAATGTTATCCATTCATCAATGATTTTGTAGAATTTCTGTTGAAAGACTGCCCGATCAAGGATAAAACGTGTCTTCAACCTCCGTAAGTGTCATAAAACAGAGCACAATATATGGCCAAATCGCATTGGCATGATCGTAGGTGCTCCCTCGTAATCGAGAGTTTACGGGGCTGCGGTGTAATTCAAATGCAGTTTTTTAATCGACCCCGACAGACGACCCAGCAGTTTAAATTGACCAAGTGTTCCACCAGGAAGATAATACATTCCATTTTCTAGTACTTCCGTACAAGCACTTAGAAGTTCACAATGACTTTGTCCGGATGTTTGTAACGAACCTGTGTAAACGTCCTATAATTTTTTTACCGTCCTACTGAGATTCTATCGAACTGAAAATGAGAACAGGATTTGGGATTGATTTGGCGTAAACGGAGTGTTCCTTATCGAGGGTGCTTGCACATTTTAGCAAGTGCAATGTATAATTCTAGTGTGTGCCTAATGAGCGTTTCACTTTTTACTAAACAGAAAGCAAACAACTGTTCAAAAATTACCCCACACAACATTGGTAACCGTGCAAATTTTGTTACTTTGACCTGCAGCATTTCCGATTTGAGATTAAATATTTTGAAGTAACCTGTAGCAGATAATATTGTAAGAAACTTGAAAAAACTTTTCCAGTTGGAAGAAGCCACTGACGATGCACGCTGCAGTCAAATACACAACGTCCAATGAAAGATTGCCTGTTTAAATGAAGATGAGAAAACAGCCACAATATGGAAAGATGGCAGCCAGTATATGAAGGACTGCTCTGTGAATTCCTACTGGTAACAAAGTGGTACGATTAAACGAACGCTTATCGAATCAAATGCGATAGATAAGTGGGTTTTTCTGTGTATAACAGAAACTGTATCAGAGTGCGCAATAAAACGTTAAAAAATTTGGGGTGAAGGGCATGGATGGTTTCGCAACCCGTGGCGTTGATCTTCTTCGGATTAATTGAACTCATTCGCATTTCCCCAAAGTCCTCAATGAAAATATGTTTCCTTTGGTCGGATGTCATTAAAAAAAACGTTTTAATACGTATTCTTACTCCAAATGATAATCGGCGTTTGAATAGTGGCTCGCGTTTGAATGATTTACTGAATCTCTGACGCGGATTTCACGAGCAAAACGGTTGATTTGTCGGTTCAAATTTCGCACCAAATTACACAGCGAATGCAAGCGATACCGCAGCAAACGTGCTATAAACTGCCCATGGATTTTCTGTTGAGTCTAGAACAACCAGTAGGTCAAATAAGATGCTTCAATACAGTCCGCGCCCGAATAGACTTACAGTCTATTTCATTTTGACAATTGGTCTCCTTTATTGCGTATTTGATGTAAGAGAATTGATTTTCGCCTGCATGGAGACTCGCACAAACAGACAGGTGAGCAATTGCAAATCGGGTTGTCGACGTCTTGTTTACCTGCCGAAGACAAACAGCTTTGAGTTGTCACTCGTGGTGCACGTTGCAAACAGTGGTCTTGGCATCAGCAAAAGTTCCGGCCGGCGCATCCGTGTTCGACAAATCCTGCAGCCTCGTTCACGTCGACGAACATATACTTTTGCGGAGATGGCAAAGATAGAGGATAAAAACTGGAGAGTCCCAATTCCTCGTTCGGTTTTCATGCTCTATCCACAGGCGATGGACATGAAACAGGTGGTGGCAAATATAACCAGCTGCCGTCCCATAGCAGAGGTACTTGCCATTTTATATGATCTTTCGTATGGTGCGTTTTATTCACGCCCTAACTGTCATTTGAATTATTTGTTTAAATGTAAGTTAATTTTGTTAAGTTTGTTTGTTAAGTTTGTTAAGTAAGTTAATGTAAGTTAAGTTTGAATGTAAGTTACCATCAAGTATAATCGAATCATTAGATTATGCATATGCGGATGCCTCAGACTGTATAGTTTGACGTAAATTCATCAGTCTGCATAAATTACACTGGCGAAAATTCCTATGCATATATATAAAATCTGTTTTATTTGTTGACACGTAATACTTCCGCATGTCTACTCATTGGCCTACGACTTCTTTTTAATTAAAACTTGAGTAACGGTTTATGTCGACATTATAATAATCCGTAATTAGGAGGTAATTTGGGACGTCATCGAATGCGTTGATGTTCTGTAACTTTACCTGGCTTCAAAATGTTGTACCAAGATTATGTTTCGCGTCGCCCGTTAGGGACGCAATATAGTCTCATAGTGACGACATGAAGACGCAGATTTTTGACGATTTGCTGGTTTTATTACAGGGGATTGACGGTTTGCAAATGACAAGTATTTAATAAAGTCAATCATCGTCAATCACTTCCACAAACTAAAGCGAATTCAGTCACAGCCTTGCTTTATATTTAGCATTAACATCAAGAATAAACAGTATGCTTTTATTAAAAGCTAAGCATTCAACAGTTTGGTTCAAACAAGTGGTGGGAAATATGTTCAGCCAGAGTCCAATATCCTGATATGCATAGCGTGGCTATAAGCGATGCGGCCTTTCAGTCAGTAATTTGACCTCCAATTGGCTTACTGCTTGCCAGAAAATACTCCAAATTCCATGGTAGAATGGCTGACTCGGATGGCTTAGTGCCAAATTCTCACTTGCGTCAATTAATAAATCAAAGTTAATATACAATTTTGATAAGGTGACATTTATTTGAAAAAGGCTAGCGTTCGTAAAATAAGATCACATATTGATAACAAGATACAGCTCGAACCGTATAAAAACGACCAGCCGTAAATGAGACCAGGGTAAACTGGAATGCTTCCCTATGAAGTGCCAGCCTGTGAAATTGGACGCAGTGACCATTTGCGCTAAGCTATACCCATGAGAAGAATGGCGACAGTGATGGCGAATTCTGGCTTGGTGACTGATATCATTCAATAATACCTAATCCCACGTTTACAATGCTTGCGCATGGACCCGCGTTCTGTCAGCTAGAAGTCCAACACTTACCATAGTACGTACATTTACACTGCAGTCGACGAACTGGTTGTCAAATGTCCGACTCAAGTCAAATTCGCGCAACAAGAACAGTGAAAGGTCAGTTCATTGTGAAGGCATGACAGACAGTGGACGACATTTGTTGAAGGTTAACTGCACCAAATGCCATGTCAATTAGTAAATATCAGCTCTTTATCCATCCTTCTGTTCCCATTAATGCAGTGCATTTTGAAGACTGGGGGGCTCTGACTCTAGTGAGCTAAAGGTCCTTCCATGGAAGTGATACTAACTTCTTCCTCTAATAGGAATACTCACATTTCGGCCGTAATTGCGGCATTGGCTGTTTCCGGTTCCCGAATGGTTAACCGTACCTTCCCACAGCTGGCCAATTTACACCAATACTCATCCTGGCACGCTGTGACTCAACGCATTCGGAGGCCTATTAAAGAGGCGGTCGTATCGCCTCCGAAGGCCAACGTGCATTTTCAACTTTTTATTCGTGTGTTCTGCATAAAGTGCATAACTCCCTCATCATTCCTCTATCTACTCCGCCTCCTGCTTGGTAAATGAACTGTAACTGTCTTGACATCACATCGTAACTATCCTTTTTTAAACTGTCGACTTACGTTAAAAACGATGAGGAGGGCGCTGGAGCCCAACATATCGAACAGCATTCCTGCGTTGTTCAACGAATTGCATCTCATATTGGCGTGGCTTTTGAGCTCGATTGTTGGTATTAGTGTTTTCCCAAAGAAAACAAGAAGGTGTTTATTTAAATCATTTCACGCAAATGTAATACCACACAAATAGGTCTAACGAATGATTGTTATAACTCAATGGGTAGATCCGTATTGTCGATCATTGTTTTAGATCGTTTTATACCTTGCAGGCACCAATATTCAATCAGACAATCAGATTCCTGAAAGTCAGCTCGACCGTCTGCGTGCCTGGAAAACCAGTCGAAGGAAATCTGGATGCTATTGTGATAGTCAAGTCCGCTGTCTACAATTTTGCAGACCGTGATCGTTTACGGAGGGCTTTTGCTATGGAAAAGCAGCGGGAGCCCGAATTCCGCATGGCTATTGTCTTCTCCGTGGGACTACCCAGCAGCAGCGGAGGTCGGTTCTTCCAACGTGACGGCTTTAACGTCTCACTGCCTGACCGCGCAGGTGAGGCCATGGAAGTTATGCAAACAAAGAGGACAGAAGTTCTGAGAAATCTGACAGAAGAAGCCCGACTCAACGGTGACCTTGTTGTGGGTGACTACGAGGACACCTACTATAACCTCAGCCTCAAATTATTCCACACATACCAATGGGCCTCTAGCTTCTGTCTTCCGCATTTCACGTCCCAACGACGACCTCCTGTCTTTATCTTCCTTGATGATGATTATGCTTTCAATGCAATCCGTATGAAAGAACACTTGGGGAGCCTCACCGACGCGCAGGTACGACGAATAACTTGGGGCATGCCACGCAGGCATTCAAGGGTGATCCGTCATTTGGATTCAACGATCTCCGAAAAGTGGTCCGTCTCTAAACGTGAGATGCCCTGGCCATACTACCCTCCTCATGGTCCCGGCTGCTTTTCTGTCATAGGCGCTGATGTTCTCCAGGAAATCGCCCTAGCCATGTACTTCACTCAGCAGTTTCCAATAGACGATGCGTGGTTAGGCATGGTCATGACAAAGTTAGATCTCTATTTTCAATCTCTTCCTCGTATGTACCAAAGAGTGCCTAAGGGTCTCAAAAAGAAGTCAGTTCTTTTTGCGCCCTTAGACTTCCTCCTTACTTCAAAATGACTTTACTGGTAAATCCTGATTTATTATGTGCATATGATGTACATTTGTTTTTGAGTCGACCATATTTGTAATGTGGAATGGTGCCTTATTTGTTCAGTTCCACATTGGAATATGCCTTAGTTCCAGCGTAATCGTTGATGGGCTTGGTATATTATGGAATTTAAACATGAAATTATCGTTTTAATTCTGTCAGTATATTTGAGTAATATCCCACAGATTTTCCTAGCATGGATGCGACTTATTATAGTTTGAATAATTCAATCATTCGCCAATACGTTAACTGTGTGTCGTCTTAATATGCGACGCCAATAAGTGGCATCGACTCATGCAACACAAAAATCTTGTAACTGTGGATCTCAGGGGTGGGTTAAACGAAACTGGCTATCCAATGTTACGCAAAAATTTAAGCTAATGTACACTAGTTATTAAAAACAGGTCCAATGATTACTAACCACTTATAAATCGTCACTTATGCATTGGGTCAACATCTACATTAATAAATACTATCTGTAAGAAAAATTAAAAATGGAAGAAATACTAAAGGTAACGTCACGTTGCTTAGAAACGCCAATACGTTAGAGGGACGAAATAAATTCCGAAAACGTCAAAAACGATTTTAGTGTGTGTGTGCCTGTCCATGCAACACTATGAGTAAATGTTACAGCAAAAATAACACAGCATCTCTAAGTAGCCTTTTAGTTAATTTCACTTCTACATATATCCCTGTACAATCAATGCACATTTTGCTAACAACGTACATTCCATGTATATTCTCCAAAACGATTTTCCGAGGAATTGCTTTACAGTTAATGCCTGTGAACTGATGGAACTGCAGTCAATCAGAAGAGAGGATGTCGCATGATTTTAACGATGAGAAAAAGCGTTTTCCCAAAGTCACATGTTTTCAGGTTAGTCCCTGTCAAACAAATTGGTCAGATGTGGTTATGTAACCGCAGCTGATGTTAAAAAACCCTAGCCACCTGTAATGCGACACCGATGGTAATGGGGATTTTTACAGTTGGGACAAGAGAATGCACAGGCGACAATGTCAAGTACTTATATGCAAAAAAACTATTTACGTTCAGGTGCTTTCAGTGTTTCATAATTAGTTGTACCGACTCCTTACCGCTAAATATGATAAGATAATTTAACCTCTACTATTTGCCACTAAGCCTAGCACCAACAGTATCGTTTCCACCAGGTGCAACTGCATAACCTAATCTCATCAGTAAGTTTAAATATAAATGGTAGGTGTAACTACGAATATTCAGTTTTTTATATAACAAGGTCGTTTTCCTGTGAAGTTAATTCGCGATTATTCCTTCGTTATGCATTAGGGTTGGTTTTAGATTGGACGTGAAATATTGCTGAATATTTCATGACCATAAGTGTTTTAAATCGATCGACCATAAAGGCAGATTTAATAACACGCGTTCATTAGAATCTTAGACATGAGATACTTATTGCAGACATTTACCGGAGAGGCAAGTTTTAGGTGTTCTTTTTCCTGAAGATGATCGTCTACGTCACAATAAAAGAATCGCCCGAGAATGACAACAAATCATAAATAAAAGGGAACATCGAACACAAAAATCAGCAAAAATACTGCCTTTATACTAAATCCCGTCGATAGATGTATGCGGACTTTTTATTCTAACATAATGAAACGAAGGCGAAATCAGGATTATACGCTTGGGCCATTTTCCGTTATCGTTGGTCAATTTCGGTCGTGTTTTGCGACCATAAAAAAGAGTTACAGTGGCCATATAAATACTGACATATGTAAAGATGGGAATCTCAAGACGCCCAAGCAGAAAGTAATGAGTGTTTGGGGCAACAAAACAAACTCAATTCTGTACAATTTGCGATACTGATTTCACAAGCCGTCTTCTACTTATTAAAATTGACAGAAAGTCGCTATTATTATTATTATTGCTAGTAGTTTTTTGCTCGTTTCATTTCCTTATCACGCGTTTGCAGAAAGAGGATCCTGCAAAAGTAATGTTTCATATTTGAAAAACAAATATTTTATAAACGGCCAGAAACTTTGGTTCACTTAAAAAGATGGTTGCCTTCGCCTACAGGGCACAAACATGAGGTTTTTAATCTGCAAATTTATTTACGGTAGAAAGTTACCTAGATATTAATTAAAGGCAGATTTCGACTAAACATGGGCTGTTTAACTTTAATAAATAAATTTCTATAAAACAGACGGCGTTCTGGGACTCCAACCAATTCAGCTCCCACCAATAATAAAATCGAATTTCAGACAAACTTCTCAGTCAAATTTGAATCAAGACATTTGGGAGCTAGGCTACGGACTGTGAATACGTGATGTAATACGGAAGGTTTGAATCTGATGCAAAAATCAAATGTCAAGTGTGACAAGTTCTGTTTAGAAAACGTCTTGTGAGTAAATTAGTCTTCTTATAAAGTAAGCCCTTGCGGAATCGCAAATGAAGTCAAAAAGCATTATCAGGGAATGTTCCCCAAATGTATAGCAACATCCCTCTTTGCTCAAATGTATGAATATTTTGCCAGGTACAATGACTTAAACGCTCTTTCTAGACGAGAAAAGAATACCTACCGAGATTGGCTGGGCGGATGAGAAAATTGTGCAGCGGTTATATTGTCTGAAGTTTCTCACCTCACTGTTCGGCATAAGTCAGCGGAATAACGGCGCAAATTTAAATAAACATAACGACAAATCTTCGGTCAAATCGGATTACTATGTTTTATGCCGTTATAAAACTATTTAACTCAAGGAAAGTAGAGTAAAAATGTGATCTTAAAAAAAAATTAATTATAACTGTCTATGCACGTGAATATGTGCATATAAAGCAAATTAGAATGTGATTGTTTGTGAGCGCGAGCACGAGGTACACTTAGCAGGCAGTATCTTATGCACTGTTGCAGACAAGGCTTTCAGAATTAAGATTTTTTCTCGAGGTCTGTCTAATTCCTAAAAACTTCTCGCCCCCCTTGTCGGCCGTAGTCGTGTAGTGTAATTAAAACGCATCTTCCGATTGCAGTGATCGCGGTGATTCTATCTGTTGACCGTGGGGGATTTGCATTGCTAGATCATGACATCCAAGCTAGTCGGTGTTCGCCACCAGGTTAGAGAAATCTTGCTACATCGTAGGAAGCCTAGTCAGCGAGCAAGTTTGAGCTACCGACTGCCTTCCACAAATTCTTTGACTTTCAGAACTTGCCTAGGAGCGTGATCGCAGCTGAAAAAAGCTTGCTTCCAACATTGGAAGGAAGTAGCGCAGAGGATAGTTAATATAATAATCAACCATTACATTGCTATGGACGACATCTTTGCTGATTAACGTTCGCTCATAGAATCAAAAAATACGTGAACTGTCGCGGGGGCATTTTTTCGAAGAATTGTCGTTATTTCAATTTTGCGTAAGGAATGTTAGACAGTATTTGTCTCTGCCAGAGTTTCATAAGATCCCACAGGAAATGACGACATCTCCTAGTATATACCACCCACCCATCCCTATTACTCGCAAGCTGACTAAACAAATTCTCTCATTCGCAGCATCATAGGCAGATGCATGATAATAGTTAGTGTTTGGCCAATGAAATTCTAATTATAAGCCGAATTCAAATGTAGCCCGTTGGCGAAAATATCTTCTTCCGCTTTCTGACAGTAAGGATGCATCAACTGAAGTTTTTATGAGATTCAACCGACCATCATTGCATTTGGTGCCATCGTAAAAAATCCAGCAGTCCCAATTATCTCCTTTTTGAGTTTTCTCACATTCATTTTAGACAACGTGACGCCTGAGGTCGTTTAGTCACCAAATTAGTGGTTACATTTGTTCGGACTCTGTGAAAACTCGAGGCCACATCTTATAACGTTGCGCATAAAACATATGCTTCTGGTGGACTGCATGATCTAGGGTTTTCAGCAAACATTTTACTAACAGTCAAGAAGAACAACCGAACGAACAACTTCAGTTCATTTTTGATCATTTTCGTCTGCAAGTCACACCCCAGCCCTAAATGCAGACTTCAAATACGATTTGGGACATCTGATTGAAGGCGGTCACTCCGATAAATACCTATAGTTTGTAATGGATTTAGCACAGTTGTGTGTTCGCTTAACTAGTGCTTCATATCATTTCAGAAAATGTCTGATAAATGAAATCACTCGCAAAGGGAATCATGGACACCCTGTCGCTAGCTGTTAATTCATGAAGAGTTAAAGGCTTCGGGTGGAAACATTTTTTTCCTACACAAAGACATGGTTGAATCGTTGAAAGAAATCCTGATTGCACGTGTTCTGCTTAGAAAACATAAGCGAATTTAAACTTTCTTATTTGCAAACATACTCTCCAAATGCAGCAAAATGTCCTACATTCACGTAGACTGTGGAAGGGTTCGAAAGATCTCAATATACTGGAAGCAACCTCAAAAGTATTTACATCAACATAGGTGACTGCAGTTGCGTGTTTAATCGGACTCACTAATTGTCGAAATGTTCAATGAGCGACCAATTTTTTTGAAATTCTGACCAGAATTCTGATTAGGAAAGATGACTAAGGTGGCGTTGTAATGCTGATTATCACGCGGCATAATCGTTTATTATTTTAGACTCCAGAGGGTATCGGCTCCTATCTGTACTTCGTTTCAATCTCCTGCGGAAGCATTTTTCGGTAAAAAATGACTACCTAACCAGCACGCACATTTCACACTGATTTTGATGGTCTTATTAATCAAGGTATACTTTATAGAAAACGTGCAAAAAGTTTGGTTTATTTCACTTATTTGTTAGATAATCATTTTGTCTTCATATGTTAAACCCGAAAAAGGATATAATTAGGTTTTCAAAATTTTCTACTTATGAGATTTATGAGACACAGCTATGTCCGTCCATACAGTATCGGAACGGTCCGTTTACCACTGCTCCTCATAAAATGTACAACAAGTTCCGCATACATTGCAGAATTGCATGGACTCAAATGGGGTCCTTTTTAATGCATAAATGA